ACCCATTTTTCCATGAGTTTCTCCTCCTTTTCCCAAATTAACTCCCTTTTCCATGGATTTCTCCCTTTTTTCCCCCCCTCAATCCATGATTTTCCTCGGGATGGTTCATTTTGTGGCATCTCCCGTTGGATTCAGGGCATTAATTTGACCTTAACTCTGTTTTAATCCCCAATTAAACCCATTTTTCCAGGCAGTTTCTCCTCCTTCTCATCCCAAATTCACCTCCATTTCCAGGGTTTTTTTCCCCTCAGATCTTTGATTTTCCCAAGAATCCCTGATTTTCTTGTTGTCCCCCCATTTTCCCTCCCCTGGAGTGAAAACTTGACCTTCAACCTGCTCTTAATCCCCAGTCAAACCCGATTTTCCAGGCATTTCTCCTCCTTCTCATCCCAAATTCAGCCCCATTTCCAGGAATTTCTCCTCATTAACTCAAATTTGAGTGAATTTCTCCCATTTTTTTTCCCCACCTCCAGGATTCCCCTGATGATGGAAGGTCAGTGGTGGAATTTCATCTCCAGCTGACCTGGGGTGGGAACTTTGGACCTTAAACCCAGTTCTAAACCCTAAATAAAACCCCATTTCCATGAATTTCCCCTCATTAACCCCAATTAAAGTGGATTTCTTCCATTTTCTCTCCCCCCCCCTTCTCCAGGATTCTCCTGATGGTGGAAGGTCAATGGTGGAAGTTCAGTTGACCTGGGGTGGGAACTTTGGACCTTAAACCTGCTTTTAATCCCAAATTCAGCCCCATTTCCATCAATTTCCCCTCATTAACCCCAATTAAAGTGGTTTTCTCCCCCTCCAGCTCCGGGCCTGCCCCCCGACAATGGAATGTCAATGATGGAGACCCCAACTCAACCCCATTTCCACAAATTTCTCCTCCTTCACCCAAATTTACCCTCATTTTCACCCGGATTTCTCCCCTTTTCTCCCCCCCCAGCTCCAGGTCTGCCCCCTGACAATGGAAGGTCAATGGTGGAGACCCCAACTCAGCCCCATTTCCATGAATTTCCCCTCATTAACCCCAATTAAAGTGGATTTCTCTCATTTTCTCCCCCCCCAGCTCCAGGCCTGCCCCCCGACAATGGAAGGTCAATGATGGAATTTCATCTCCAACTGACCTGGGGTGGGAACTTTGGACCTTAAACCTGCTTTTAATCCCAAATTCAGCCCCATTTCCATGAATTTCCCCTCATTAACCCAAATTAACCCTCATTTTCACCTGGATTTCTCCCCTCCAGCTCCAGGTCTACCCCCCGACGATGGAAGGTCAATGGTGGAGACCCCAACTCAGCCCCATTTCCACAAATTTCTCCTCCTTCACCCAAATTAACCCTCATTTTCACCCGGATTTCTCCCTTTCTCCCTCCCAGCTCCATGGCCTGCCCCCTGACGATGGAAGGTCAATGGTGGAGACCCCAACTCAGCCCCATTTCCATGAATTTCTCCTCATTAACCCCAATTAAAGTGGATTTCTCATGTTTTTCCCATTCCCAGCTCCAGGCTTTCCCCCTGACAATGGAAACTCAATGGTGGAGACCCCAACTCAGCCCCATTTCCATGAATTTCCCCTCATTAACCCCAATTAAAGTGGATTTCTCCTCTTTTCTCCCCCCCCAGCTCCAGGTCTACCCCCCAATGATGGAAGGTCAACGTTGGAGACCCCAACTCAGCCCCATTTCCATCAATTTCCCCTCATTAACCCCAATTAAAGTGGATTTCTCCACTTTTCTCCCCCCCCAGCTCCGGGCCTGCTCCCCCACGATGGAAGGTCAGTGGTGGAAATTCATCTCCAGCTGACCTGGGGTGGGAACTTTTGACCTTAAACCTGGTTTTAACCCCAAATTCAGCCCCATTTCCATGAATTTCCCCTCATTAACCCCAATTAAAGTGGATTTCTCTCATTTTCTTTCCCCCCAGCTCCAGGTCTGCCCCCCGACGATGGAATGTCAATGGTGGAGACCCCAACTCAGCCCCATTTCCATCAATTTCCCCTCATTAACCCCAATTAAAGTGGATTTCTCTCATTTTCTCTCCCCAGCTCCAGGCCTGCCCCAATGACGGAATGGAAGGAGACCTCAACTGCATTTCGGAATTTCTCATCCTTCACCCAAACTGACCTCATTGTCCAGGAACTCCTGTATCCTTAAACTCTAGGCTTTCCTGACGATGAAACTCAATGATGGAGACCTCAACTCAGCCCCATTTCCACGAATTTCTCCTCATTAACCCCAATTAAAGTGGGTTTCTCCCCTTTTCTTCCCCCCCCAGCTCCAGGCTTTCCCCCTGACGATGGAAACTCAATGATGGAGACCCCAACTCAGCCCCATTTCTGTGAATTTCTCCTCCTTCACCCAAATTTACCCTCATTTTCACCAGGATTTCTCCTGTTTTTCCCATTCCCAGCTCCAGGCTTTCCCCCTGACGATGGAAACTCAATGATGGAGACCCCAACTCAGCCCCATTTCCACGAATTTCTCCTCATTAACCCCAATTACCAGTGGATTTCTCTGTTTTCCATTCCCAGCTCCAGGCTTTCCCCCTGACGATGGAATGTCAATGATGGAGACCCCAATAGCCCCATTTCCATGAATTTCTCCTCCTTCACCCAAATTAACCCTCAATTTTCTCTCCCCCCCAGCTCTGGGCCTGCCCCCTGATGATGGAAGGTCAATGATGGAGACCCCAACTCAGCCCCATTTCCATGAATTTCCCCTCATTAACCCCAATTAAAGTGGATTTCTCCCCTTTTCTCCCCCGCCAGCTCCAGGTTTTCCCCCCTGACAATGGAAGGTCAATGATGGAAGTTCATCTCCAGCTGACCTGGAGTGGGAACTTTTGACCTTAAACCTGGTTCTAACCCCTAAATAAAACCCCATTTCCACGAATTTCCCCTCCTTAACCCCAATTAAAGTGGATTTCTCTCATTTTCTTTCCCCCCAGCTCCAGGTCTGCCCCCTGATGATGGAAGGTCAATGGTGGAGACCCCAACTCAGCCCCATTTCCATGAATTTCTCCTCCTTCACCCAAATTTACCCTCATTTTCACCTGGATTTCTCCCCTTTTCTCCCCCCCCCGCTCCAGGTCTACCCCCCAGTGATGGAATGTCAATGGTGGAGACCCCAACTCAGCCCCATTTCCATGAATTTCTCCTCCTTCACCCAAATTAAAGTGGATTTCTCCCATTTTCTCTCTCCCCAGCTCTGGGTCTGCCCCTCAACGATGGAAGGTCAATGGTGGAGACCCCAACTCAGCCCCATTTCCATGAATTTCCCCTCATTAACCCAAATTAAAGTGGATTTCTCTCATTTTCTTTCCCCCCCCAGCTCCGGGCCTGCCCCCCAACGATGGAAGGTCAATGGTGGAGACCCCAACTCAGCCCCATTTCCATCAATTTCTCCTCCTTCACCCAAATTAACCCTCAATTTTCTCCCCCTCCAGCTCTGGGCCTGCCCCCTGACAATGGAATGTCAATGGTGGAATTTCATCTCCAGCTGACCTGGGGTGGGAACTTTGGACCTTAAACCTGCTTTTAACCCCCAACTCAGCCCCATTTCCATGAATTTCCCCTCATTAACCCCAATTAAAGTGGATTTCTCATGTTTTTCCCATTCCCAGCTCCAGGCTTTCCCCCTGATGATGGAATGTCAATGGTGGAGACCCCAACTCAGCCCCATTTCCACGAATTTCTCCTCATTAACCCCAATTAAAGTGGATTTCTCTCATTTTCTACCCCCCTCAGCTCCAGGCCTGCCCCCCGACGATGGAAGGTCAGTGGTGGAATTTCATCTCCAGCTGACCTGGGGTGGGAACTCTTGACCTTAAACCTGGTTTTAACCACCAGGTCAACCCCATTTCCATGAATTTCCCCTCATTAACCCCAATTAAAGTGGTTTTCTCCCCCCCCAGCTCCAGGCCTGCCCCCTGACAATGGAATGTCAATGGTGGAGACCCCAACTCAGCCCCATTTCCACAAATTTCTCCTCCTTCACCCAAATTTACCCTCATTTTCACCCAGATTTCTCCCCTTTTCTCCCCCCCCAGCTCCAGGTCTACCCCCCAATGATGGAATGTCAATGGTGGAGACCCCAACTCAGCCCCATTTCCATCAATTTCCCCTCATTAACCCCAATTAAAGTGGATTTCTCTCATTTTCTCCCCCCCCAGCTCCAGGATTTCCCTGACAGTGGAAGGTCAATGGTGGAATTTCATCTCCAACTGACCTGGGGTGGGAACTTTGGATTAAACCTGCTTTTAATCCCAAATTCAGCCCCATTTCCACAAATTTCCCCTCATTAACCCCAATTAAAGTGGATTTCTCCCCTTTTCTCCCTCCCAGCTCCTGGCCTGCCCCCTGATGATGGAATGTCAATGATGGAGACCCCAACTCAACCCCATTTCCACGAATTTCTCCTCCTTCACCCAAATTTACCCTCATTTTCACCCGGATTTCTCGTGTTTTTCCCATTCCTAGCTCCAGGTTTTCCCCCTGATGATGGAAGGTCAATGATGGAGATCCCAATTCAGCCCCATTTCCATGAATTTCTCCTCCTTCACCCAAATTAACCCTCAATTTTCTCTCCCCCCCCAGCTCTGGGCCTGCCCCCTGACGATGGAAGGTCAATGGTGGAAATTCATCTCCAGCTGACCTGGAGTGGGAACTTTTGACCTTAAACCTGGTTCTAACCCCTAAATAAAACCCCATTTCCACGAATTTCCCCTCATTAACCCCAAATTAAATTTCTCTCATTTTCTCCCCCCCCAGCTCCGGGCCTGCCCCCTGACGATGGAAACTCAATGATGGAGACCCCAATTCAGCCCCATTTCCATGGATTTCCCCTCATTAACCCCAATTAAAGTGGATTTCTTGTGTTTTTCCCATTCCCAGCTCTGGACCTGCCCCCCAGTGATGGAAACTCAATGATGGAGATCCCAATTCAGCCCCATTTCCTGAATTTCCCCTCATTAACCCCAATTAAAGTGGTTTTCTCCCCCCCCAGCTCCGGGCCTGCCCCCCGACGATGGCCCAGCTGCTCCTGCTGCCCCTCCTGGTGGCCAGCGCGGCGTCCCCGTCGCCCCCCTCTCCGCCGGCAGCGTCGTCGTCGCCGCCGTCGTGCCCCAGGCGGTGCCAGTGCCAGAGCGTGTCTCCGTCCTTCACGGTGCTGTGCGCCAAGACCGGGCTGCTCTTCGTGCCGCCCGCCCTGGACCGGCGCACGGCCGAGCTGCGCCTCATGGACAACTTCATCAGCGCCCTGCGGCGCCGCGACTTCGCCAACATGACGGGGCTGCTGCACCTGACGCTGTCGCGCAACGCCATCAGCCAGATCGCGCCGCTGGCCTTCGCCGACCTGCGCGGCCTCCACGCGCTGCACCTGGACGGCAACCGGCTGACGGCGCTGGGCGACGAGCACCTGCGCGGGCTGGTCAACCTGCGCCACCTCATCCTCAGCAACAACCAGCTGAGCCGCGTGTCGCCCGGCTCGCTCGACGACTTCGTGGACACCATCGAGGACCTGGACCTGTCCTACAACAACCTGGCCGAGGTGCCCTGGGCGGCCGTGGCGCGGCTCTCCAACGTCAACACGGTGAGCCTGGACCACAACCTGATCGAGGCGGTGCCCGAGGGCATCTTCTCCAACCTGCGCAAGCTGGCGCGGCTCGACGTGACGTCCAACCGGCTGAAGAAGATCCCTCCCGACCCGCTGTTCTCGCGCGTGCCGGTGTACGCGCGGCCGCGGGGCTCGCCGCCCCAGTCGCTGGTGCTGGGCTTCGGCGGCAACCCCCTGCACTGCAACTGCGAGCTGGTGTGGCTGCGGCGCCTGGCGCGCGACGACGACCTGGAGACGTGCGCGTCGCCGCCCGAGCTGGCCGGCCGCTACTTCTGGTCCATCGGCGAGCACGAGTTCGTGTGCGAGCCGCCCATGATCACCCACCGCACGCCGCGCCTGGCGGCCGCCCAGGGCCGCGCCGCCTCGCTCAAGTGCCGCGCCGTGGGCGACCCCGAGCCCTCGGTGCGCTGGATCGGCCCCGACGGGCGCCTGGTGGCCAACAGCAGCCGCGCCACCTCCTACGCCAACGGCACGCTGGACATCCGCGCCGCCGCGCCCGCCGACGGCGGCACCTTCACCTGCATCGCCTCCAACGCCGCCGGCGAGTCCACGGCGCCCGTGGAGCTCGTGGTGACGCCGCCCGTGCCGGGCAACGACAGCGAGGGCTGCGACAAGGACGGGGAGGAGGAGGGGGCGGCGCAGCCCTCAGACATCCTGACCCCCGCCAAGGCCGAGAGGCCGGAGCGCCGAGGGGAGCAGGAGGAGGAGGAGGAGGAGGAGGAGGAGGAGGGGAAGGAGGAAGGGGCGGTGGTGGTGGAGGAGCTGACGGCGACGTCGGCGCTGGTGAAGTGGGGAGGCCGCAGGAGGGCCCAGCCCGACCTCAGGATGTACCAGATCCGCTACAACTCCTCGAGCGACGACGTGCCCGTCTACAGGTGGGGGGAGATGGGGGTGGAGGAAAGGGTGGGGAGGGCTGGAGGGGGGAGGAGGTGGGGGAGGGGTGGAGAAGGTGGAGAACGGGCCCATCCTAAGACCCTTCCCAAGATTCTTCTAAGGCGCTTTTAAGAAGCATCCTAAGAGTTGTCAAAGACCCATCCCAAAGCCCATCCCAAGACCCTTCTAAGACCCATCCCAAGACCCTTCTAAGACCATTCCCAAGACCCTTCTAAGACTCATCCCAACACCCATCCCAAGACCCTTCCCAAGACCCTTCTAAGACTCATCCCAAGACCCTTCCCAAGACCCTTCTAAGACCCCTTTAAGACCCATCCCAAGACCCCTTTAAGACCCTTTTAAGACGCATCCTATGACCTGTCTAAGACCCATCCCAAGACCTGTCCCAAGACCATTCTAAGACCCTTCCAAGACTCATCCCAAGGACCTTCTAAGACCCATCTTAAGACCTATCTAAGACCCATCCCAAGACCCTTCTAAGACCATCCTAAGATCTTTCCAAGACCCAACACCCGGAAATCACCTCCTTGACCTCCTTTTCCCCTCTCTCCCGCCCAGGATGCTGCCCCCCAGCAGCGAATCGTTCGTGCTGTCAGACCTGGCCCCGGGCCGCTCGTACGAGCTGTGCGTGCTGGCCGTGAGCGCCGACGCCGCCACGGCCCTGCCGGCCACGCACACCCAAAACACCCGGCCCCAAAGTGACCCAGGAACGGCCCAGGAACAACCCAGGGCCTGCTGAGACCCTGCTGAGACCCCTCCCCAAGGGACAGCCCAGGAACAGCCCAGGGCCTGCTGAGACCCTGCTGAGACCCCTCCCCAAGGGCCAGCCCAGGAACAGCCCAGGGCCTGCTGAGACCCTGCTGAGACCCCTCCCCAAGGGACAGCCCAGGAACAACCCAGGGCCTGCTGAGACCCTGCTGAGACCCCTCCCCAAGGGCCAGCCCAGGAACAACCCAGGGCCTGCTGAGACCCTGCTGAGACCCCCTCCCAAGGGACAGCCCAGGGACAGTCCCAGGGCCTGCTGAGACCCTGCTGAGACCCCTCCCCAAGGGACAGCCCAAGGGACAGTCCCAGGGCCTGCTGAGACCCTGCTGAGACCCTCCTCAAGGGACAGCCCAGGACAGTCCCAGGGCCTGCTGAGACCCTGCTGAGACCCCTCCCCAAGGGCCAGCCCAGGAACAACCCAGGGCCTGCTGAGACCCTGCTGAGACCCCTCCCCAAGGGACAGCCCAAGGGACAGTCCCAGGGCCTGCTGAGACCCTGCTGAGACCCCTCCCCAAGGGACAGCCCAGGAACAACCCAGGGCCTGCTGAGACCCTGCTGAGACCCCTCCCCAAGGGACAGCCCAAGGGACAGTCCCAGGGCCTGCTGAGACCCTGCTGAGACCCCTCCCCAAGGGACAGCCCAGGAACAACCCAGGGCCTGCTGAGACCCTGCTGAGACCCCTCCCCAAGGGACAGCCCAGGATCAACCCAGGGCCTACTGAGACCCTGCTGAGACCCCTCCCCAAGGGACAGCCCAGGAACAACCCAGGGCCTGCTGAGACCCCTCCCAAGGGCCTTTTAAGACCCTTCTAAGACCCATCCCAAGACCCTTCCAAAGACACTTCTAAGACCCTTCTAAGACTCATCCCAACACCCATCCCAAGGCCCTTCTAAGACCCATCCCAAGACCCATCCCAAGACCCTTCTAAGACCCATCCCAAGACCCTTCCAAAGACACTTCTAAGACCCTTCCAAGACTCATCCCAAGACCCTTCTAAGACCCATCTTAAGACCTATCTAAGACCCATCCCAAGACCCTTCTAAGACCATCCTAAGATCTTTCCAAGACCCAACACCTGGAAATGACCTCCTTTTCCCCTCTCTCCCCCCCAGGATGCTCCCCCCGAGCAGCGAATCGTTCGTGCTGTCGGACCTGGCCCCGTCCCGCTCGTCCGAGCTGTGCGTGCTGGCCGTGAGCGCCGACGCCGCCACGGCCCTGCCGGCCACGCACACCCAAAACACCCGGCCCCAAAGTGACCCAGGAACGGCCCAGGAACAACCCAGGGCCTGCTGAGACCCTGCTGAGACCCCTCCCCAAGGGACAGCCCAAGGGACAGCCCAGGAACAACCCAGGGCCTGCTGAGACCCTGCTGAGACCCCTCCCCAAGGGCCAGCCCAGGAACAGCCCAGGGCCTGCTGAGACCCTGCTGAGACCCCTCCCCAAGGGACAGCCCAGGAACAGCCCCAGGGCCTGCTGAGACCCCTCCCAAGGGCCTTTTAAGAGCCTTCTAAGACCCATCCCAAGACCCTTCCAAAGACACTTCTAAGACCCTTCTAAGACTCATCCCAAGACCCTTCTAAGAACTTTCCAAGACCCATCCCAAGACCCTTCTAAGAACTTTCTAAGACCCATCCCAAGACCCTTCTAAGACCCATCCCAAGGCCCTTCCAAGACACTTCTAAGACCCTTCCAAGACTCAACCCAAGACCCTTCTAAGACCCATCTTAAGACCTATCTAAGACCCATCCCAAGACTCATCCCAAGATTCATCCCAAGACCCTTCCAAGACTCATCCCAAGACCCTTCCAAGACTCATCCCAAGACCCTTCTAAGACCATCCTAAGATCTTTCCAAGGCCCAACACCTGGAAATCACCTCCTTGACCTCCTTTTCCCCTCTCTCCCCTGCCCAGGATGCTGCCCCCCAGCAGCGAATCGTTCGTGCTGTCAGACCTGGCCCCGGGCCGCTCGTCCGAGCTGTGCGTGCTGGCCGTGAGCGCCGACGCGCCACGGCCCTGCCGGCCACGCACACCCAAAACACCCGGCCCCAAAGTGACCCAGGAACGGCCCAGGAACAGCCCAGGGCCTGCTGAGACCCTGCTGAGACCCCTCCCCAAGGGATAGCCCAGGAACAGCCCAGGGCCTGCTGGAGACCCTGCTGAGACCCTCCCCAAGGGCCAGCCCAGGAACAGCCCAGGGCCTGCTGAGACCCTGCTGAGACCCCTCCCCAAGGGACAGCCCAGGAACAACCCAGGGCCTGCTGAGACCCTGCTGAGACCCCTCCCCAAGGGACAGCCCAGGAACAACCCAGGGCCTGCTGAGACCCCTCCCAAGGGACAGCCCAGGAACAGCCCCAGGGCCTGCTGAGACCCTGCTGAGACCCCTCCCAAGGGCCTTTTAAGACCCTTCTAAGACCCATCCCAAGACCCTTCCAAAGACACTTCTAAGACCCTTCCAAGACTCATCCCAAGACCCTTCCCAAGGCCTTTCTAAGACCCGTCCCAAGACCTGTCCCAAGACCCTTCTAAGACCCTTCCCAAGACTCATCCCAAGACCCTTCTAAGACCCATCCCAAGACCCTTCCCAAGACCCTTCTAAGACCCATCCTAAGATCTTTTCAAGACCCATCCCAAGGTCATTCTAAGACCTTTCTAAGACTCATCCCAAGACCTTTCTAAGACCCATCCCAAGGCCCATTCCAAGACCCTTCCAAGACCCATCCCAAGACCCTTCTAAGACCATCCTAAGATCTTTCCAAGGCCCAACATCCAGAAATGACCTCCTTTTCTCTCCTCAATCTCTCCCCTGCCCAGGATGCTGCCCCCCAGCAGCGAATCGTTCGTGCTGTCAGACCTGGCCCCGGGCCGCTCGTACGAGCTGTGCGTGCTGGCCGTGAGCGCCGACGCCGCCACGGCCCTGCCGGCCACGCACACCCAAAACACCCGGCCCCAAAGTGACCCAGGAACGGCCCAGGAACAACCCAGGGCCTGCTGAGACCCTGCTGAGACCCCTCCCCAAGGGACAGCCCAGGAACAGCCCCAGGGCCTGCTGAGACCCTGCTGAGACCCCTCCCCAAGGGACAGCCCAGGAACGGCCCCAGGGCCTGCTGAGACCCTGCTGAGACCCCTCCCCAAGGGACAGCCCAGGAACAACCCAGGGCCTGCTGAGACCCTGCTGAGACCCCTCCCCAAGGGACAGCCCAGGAACAACCCAGGGCCTGCTGAGACCCCTCCCAAGGGCCTTTTAAGAGCCTTCTAAGACCCATCCCAAGACCCTTCCAAAGACACTTCTAAGACCCTTCTAAGACTCATCCCAACACCCATCCCAAGGCCCTTCTAAGACCCATCCCAAGACCCATCCCAAGACTCATACCAAGGCCTTTCTAAGATCCGTCCCAAGACCTGTCCCAAGACCCTTCTAAGACCCTTCCAAGACTCATCCCAAGACCCTTCTAAGACCCATCTTAAGACCTATCTAAGACCCTTCCCAAGACCCTTCTAAGACCCATCCTAAGATCTTTTCAAGACCCATCCCAAGGTCATTCTAAGACCTTTCTAAGACTCATCCCAAGACCCTTCCAAGACTCATCCCAAGACCCTTCCAAGACTCATCCCAAGACCCTTCTGAGACCATCCTAAGATCTTTCCAAGACCCAACATCCAGAAATGATGTCCTTAACCTCCTTTTCCCCTCTCTCCCCTACCCAGGATGCTTCCCCCGAGCAGCGAATCGTTCGTGCTGTCGGACCTGGCCCCGGGCCGCTCGTCCGAGCTGTGCGTGCTGGCCGTGAGCGCCGACGCCGCCACGGCCCTGCCGGCCACGCACACCCAAAACACCCGGCCCCAAAGTGACCCAGGAACGGCCCAGGAACAACCCAGGGCCTGCTGAGACCCTGCTGAGACCCCTCCCCAAGGGACAGCCCAGGATCAACCCCAGGGCCTGCTGAGACCCTGCTGAGACCCCTCCCAAGGGCCAGCCCAGGAACAGCCCCAGGGCCTACTGAGACCCTTCTAAGACCCATCCCAAGACCCTTCCAAAGACACTTCTAAGACCCTTCTAAGACTCATCCCAAGACCCTTCCAAGACTCATCCCAAGGCCCTTCTAAGACCCATCTTAAGACCTATCTAAGACCCATCCCAAGACCTTTCTAAGACTCTTCTAAGACTCATCCCAAGGCCCTTCTAAGACCCTTCCAAGACCCTTCCAAGACTCAACCCAAGACCCTTCTAAGACCCATCTTAAGACCTATCTAAGACCCATCCCAAGGCCCTTCTAAGACCATCCTAAGATCTTTCCAAGACCCAACACCTGGAAATGACCTCCTTTTCCCCTCTCTCCCCCAGGATGCTGCCCCCGAGCAGCGAATCGTTCGTGCTGTCGGACCTGGCCCCGGGCCGCTCGTCCGAGCTGTGCGTGCTGGCCGTGAGCGCCGACGCCGCCACGGCCCTGCCGGCCACGCACACCCAAAACACCCGGCCCCAAAGTGACCCAGGAACGGCCCAGGAACAACCCAGGGCCTGCTGAGACCCTGCTGAGACCCCTCCCCAAGGGCCAGCCCAGGAACAGCCCCAGGGCCTGCTAAGAGCCTTCTAAGACCCATCCCAAGACCCTTCCAAAGACACTTCTAAGACCCTTCTAAGACTCATCCCAACACCCATCCCAAGGCCCTTCCAAGACCCATCCCAAGACCCTTCTAAGACCTTCCTAAGACTCATCCCAAGACCCTTCTAAGACCCTTCCAAGACTCAACCCAAGGCCCTTCTAAGACCCTTCCAAGACCCTTCCAAGACTCATCCCAAGGCCCTTCTAAGACCCATCTTAAGACCTAAGACCCATCCCAAGACCCTTCTAAGACCATCCTAAGACCCTTCCAAGACCCAACATCCAGAAATGATGTCCTTAACCTCCTTTTCTCTCCTCAATCTCTCCCCTCTGCCCAGGATGCTGCCCCCGAGCAGCGAATCGTTCGTGCTGTCGGACCTGGCCCCGGGCCGCTCGTACGAGCTGTGCGTGCTGGCCGTGAGCGCCGACGCCGCCACGGCCCTGCCGGCCACGCGCGGCCTGGGCTGCGCCCGCTTCGCCACGCGGGCCGAGGGGCGGCCGTGCCGCTCCCTGCAGGCGCAGTTCCTGGGCGGCACCATCATCATCGTCATCGGCGGCATCATCGTGGCCTCGGTGCTCGTCTTCATCTTCATCCTCCTCATGAAGTACAAGGTGTACAACAGCCACCACCACCAGCACCACCACAAGGCCGCCAAGGTGGCCCACGGGTGCTCCCAGACCAACGGCGAGGCCGCGGGGAAGGCGGTGCTGGAGGTGGGGGGGGACAAAGGGACTCCTCCTCTTCCTCTTCTTCCTCCTCCTCCTCCTCCCCACGAGGCGCCGTCCTAACGACGAGTTTTGGTTGCTGTTTGTTTTTTTTTAAAAGCCAGGCTCGATGGTCTATTTTTTAAAACAAACAAACAACAAAAAAAAAAACAAAACAAAAAAAGAAACCACCAAAAAAACACCAAAAAAAAAAAAATCACGTGGGAAAAAAAAAAACCACACACACAAAAAAAAAAATCACTTGAAAAAAAAAACACAACAAAAAAAAAAACCACAAAACAAAAACAGGACCCGAGGTGGTTTCAGAGATATTTTTTTAGAGCTACCCCTCCCTTTTTTTTCCCCCCCCTTCCACCTCCAACACACCCACAAAGTCCTTTTTTTTTTGGTGGTGGTGGGGTGGGGGGGAAAGGGGATATTTTTTGGAAATCCGGAGGGCTCAGGGGGAGGGGGTTGGTTTTTTTATATTTTTCCCGAATTTTTTTGGGGGGAAGGGGGTGGGGGGTTTATTTATTTAAAGTATTTATTTAAAGTATTTATTTAAAGTATTTATTTAAAGTGGTTTTGATTTATGGAGTATTTATTTAAAGTATTTATTTAAAGTATTTATTTAAAGTATTTATTTAAAGTATTTATTTAAAGTGGTTTTTATTTAAAGTATTTATTTAAAGTATTTATTTAAAGTATTTATGTATTTATTTAAAGTGGTTTTTGTGGGGGTTTATTTATTTAAAGTATTTATTTAAAGTATTTATTTAAAGTGGGTTTTTATTTTTGGGGGGTTTATTTATTTAAAGTATTTATTTAAAGTATTTATTTAAAGTATTTATTTAAAGTGTTTTTTTTGGGGGGGGGTTATTTATTTAAAGTGGGTTTTTTAGGGGGGGTTATTTATTTAAAGTGAGGGGTTTTTTTTGAGGGTTGTTTTTTTGTGGGGGGGACGTGGAGGAATTTTTTTGGTATTTAAACAAAACAAAAAGACAAAAAAAAAAAAAACCAAAAACACCAACAGGGATTTTTTTTTGGTATTTAAACAAAACAAAAAAAAAGGAAAAAAAAAAACACAGACAGGGATTTTTATTTATTTTTTTTTATTTGGGTTCCAATGGGCTCGGAATGGGAATCTCAGGATTTTTGGGAATTCCCTCCTGGCTCAGCAGTTGGAATTCTGGAATTGTTCCTCTCTCTCTCTCTCTCTCTCTCCACGGATTTCTTATATATATATATATATATATAAAAAAATTCTTAATTTCTCATTTTGGGGAGCCTTTTTTTTGGGGGGGAAAAAGGGGAGAGAAATGTGAAAGAAAAAAAAATAAGGGGGAAATGGGGAAAATTCCGATTTTTCCGGTGGTTTGAGGGCGCTCAGGTGAGGGGGGGGGAAGGAAAACAGAGAGGTGGGAGAGGAGAAGCTCAAAAAATGACCCCAAAAATGATCTTGATGACCCCAAAAATGAGCTCAGTGACCCCAAAAATGTCAATGACCCCAAAAATGAGCTCAGTGACCCCCTCAAATGACCCAAAATGACCTCGATGACCCCAAAAATGAGCTCAGTGACCCCAAATGCGTCGATGACACCAAAAATGACCCCAAATGACCCAAAAAATGACCCCGAAATGACCTCAATGACACAAATAATGAGCTTGGTGACCCCAAAAATGCCAACGACCCCCAAAACGACCTAAAATTACCCCCAAAAATGACCCAAAATCACCCGAAAAATGACCTTAAGGACCCAAGAAATGAGCTCGGTGACCCAAGAAATGTCAGTGGCTCAAAAAGTGACCCAAAATGACTCCAAAAATGACCTTAATGACACAAATAATGAGTTCAGTGACCCAAAAAATCGAATTTCAACCTCTAAACCCCTGAATTTTAACCCCTAAAACCCCCTAAATTTTAACCCTAAACCTCCAAAATTTTATCCATTAAACCCCCGAATTTTAACCCCTAAAAACCCGAAATTTAACCCTAAAAAATTGAATTTTAAACCCTAAAACCCCCGAGTTGTAACCCCTAAAACCCCCAAATTTTAATCCCTTAAAACCCGAATTTTAACCCCTGAAAAAATCGAATTATAACCCTTAAAAAACTGAATTTTAACCCTAAAAAAATCGAATTTTAACCCTTAAAAAAATCGAATTTTAACCCCTAAAAACCAAATTTTAACCCTAAACCCCCGGAATTTTAACCCCTAAAAACCCCAAATTTTAACCCTAAACCTCCAAAATTTTAACCATTAAACCCCCGAAATTTAACCCCTTAAAACCCGAATTTTAACCCCTAAAAAATCGAATTATCACCCTTAAAAAAATCGAATTTTACCCCTAAAAAACCGAATTTTAACCCCTTAAACCCCGAATTTTACCCCCTAAAAAACCAAATTTTAACCCCAAAAAATCGAATTTTAACCCTAAAAACGCCCTAAAGCACCCAAAAAAAAGCGGAAACGGGTTAAAAATTAAATAAATTTATTTTTTTCTCTTTTTGGGGTGTTTTGGGGTGTTTTTGGGGGTCAGCTGCACTTGCAGGCGCTGACCACCATCCCCGAGAGCTGCTCCACCCGCGCCTTCCTCCCCCAAAAATAACCCCTCATTTTAACCCCCCCAAAAAAGAGTAAAAAGAGTAAAAAATTAATTAAATTTATTTTTGTTTGGGGGGGGGTCCCACCATCCCCCAGAGCTGAATTTTAACCCTAAAAACCCTGAATTTTAACCTTAAAAAAATCGAATTTTAACCC